CAGCCATGCCCGGATCCTCCCGCGTATACAAATGTTGCAACCGTCACCTAGAAAAGCTTCAACAGCCGTTGAAAAAAGCTTCAACCATAGACATAGAAAGCTTCAATGGCATTGCACAACAAGGAAAAGCTGCAACCGTTGTTGGATTTTGCTACTACCGGCAAAGCTTTTTGCTACATCCATCAGACAGAGTTACGACCTCGCGAGGACGACAATGATTTTTTTGCTGCAACCGTAGCAGGCTTTTGCTACTACCGTTGGAGGTTTTTGCTACATCCAGTAGATAAAAAAGCTTCAACCAGACAACGAAATACAGGAAAAGTTACAACCCTTTTGACAAAAAGCTTCAACCCACAGATGAAAAAGCTTCAAACAGAGATCGAGAAAATCCTCCTCGACGACGACCACGGCGTCTCTCTGTGTTTTTGTTGCAACCGCAGAGTAAAAAGCTACAACACTTTGTGAAAAAAGCTTCAAGCTCAGGTGAAAAAAGCTTCAATTGGCATGGTGGAAAGCTTCAATCCGCGAGAAAAGCTTCAACAGGCATAGAGAAAAGCTTCAACCGATGAGATAAAAAGCTTCAACCTGACTCGCCAATGGCAGCGAGCAGCGACGTTGAGAGCTGCGTCGGCGACACGACAGTCCAGCGACGACAGCGGCTGCTAGGTGCTGCGACGACAAGGGGTGCGGGTGTGCTTCAAGACGGCGCCATTTTTTGCTACGAGGGGGCGATGGGCTTTTTGCTGGACCGGGGGGCGAGTACAGATGCTGCGACGGGGACGGGGACGGCGGCCGGCGGCGGCAGGGACGGAGAGCGCATCCAGCAGCGTGGGACTAGGAGGGGGGGAGGAGGAGGTCCAGGTGAGGGGGCTAGTCGTCGGCGACAAGAAGCGGCTGGGGTGAGGACGCGGTGAAGAAGAAGAGGAAGAAGTCAACGCGGGGGAAGGGGGCTCGAGGAACAGATCTGACGGCTCGAGCTCGCGGATCGGACGGCTGGGCCTTGACCGGCCCAACGCTTGGGCCGGTGCGCCGGCGCAGATCACTTCCCTAAGCGAAAAGGCTTTACGAGAACGTGGAAGTCCAAACGAATCAAAATTATCTTAATTAAACGCGAATGCGTTGCCCCTTCCTCTCCTTCCTACGTTACTCTATCCACAGAAAATTAATCGGGGCGTGATCCCCTCGTTTCTCATCTCCCCCCAAAATCCCCTTTCTTTCATGGTACGAGTAGTCGAGGCCTCTTTTGGTTCATAGGATAGAATTATCGTAGGAATATGAATTTTATAGAAAATGAGATGATATGTATCTCAAATCCTATGAGTAGGAATAGGAAACGAGATGTCATTTGGTTGACACCAAAGGAATTTTTCCATTGAGTCTAGGTTCATTTTTATTTTTCTATTAAATATGAAGGATAGGAACCAATCCTATGTAGAAATAGGAATCCATTCCTATGAACCAAATGGCTCTATAGGAAAAAATCCTATAAGAATCCTATCATCTAGAATTCCTATGAAATTCCTCCAAACCAAAGGAGTACGTGAAAAGTATCACCTTCTTTGAATTTTGATGCCTAATTATTTAGCTCTGGTATTGAGAAAGAAACCATTCATACGGCCAGGTCACAGGAATGCTTCTTCGGCTTACAATTCCGAGTCAACAACCGTAACTCAGCACTTAGCCCTAGTTCTTGCTCTTTCCTTCCTTGCAACGGGCTGCAGAAAAAGTAGGAAAATTGACTGAAATTGTTGGATAAGTGGATTTGCGGTATCTCAACAATCAGAACAGCGAATGTTCCATTATCCAAACTAAGCTTCCTCAAATCCTAACCCCGCCTGGACAATTAGACAGCCAACCCGTAATCGCAACGACCCAATTGCAAGAGCGGAGCTCTACCAACTGAGCTATATCCCCCCCGAGCCAAGTGGAGTATGCATGGAGTCCTCTACAACGTAGTACGAATTTGCACAACTTCAGAGATACTAGTACTAGTTTTGACAGTGCGCAAGATTTTTGAGTTAACACATGCTACATGAGACACACGGACAAATCTTGAAGGCTCAAATCGAGCCTCCAAGTCATTGGGCAGCTACATCAGACTAAACTGTAAATGCAAACCGAAACTAGTATCCACAGCACGGCAAATGTTGGGTGAAAGGAAGCAGCAGCAGAAGCGCGAATTGCAAGAGCAAAGAGGCAATTATCAACGGATGGATCAACTGTGGTTATCAAACCTAGGCCACTGAAGCTGCAGCTCTCCTCACTCTGATCATGCTGCTGGTAGTAACTGTTGAAGGCAAACGACACATTCCCAGGCCAGCCACGACCTGCACAGGAGCCACCAGTGGACAGAGCGGTGCAGTCGGCATTGGAGCAAGCGGCAGAGAAACTGGAAGAAACATTGGAAAGGTCTTTGTTGTTGTCCACCACACACCATTTTGATGGAAGGTAGTCCACATCCAGCGCATTCTTGAGAGCCGTAGGGCCTTGACCCAAGTTGACATGGTACTTGGCTTGGCCGTCAAACGTAAAAATGCCATAGTGCCTGTCATAACTTCCGCTTGCTATACTGTGTTGATCTTCGTCTAAAAGGCTGTAGAGGTATGTCTCAGTTGGAGCAAATTTTGGGCGAAGTGGAGTCCCGGATTTTCTCGCCAGGTGGTTGACCAGGCCTGTCATGAAGGATTGAGCAATAGCTGAAGTTGCGTTCACAGCTCCATCTGTTGGCCATCCTGCTTTCCCAACAACGATGTCCATATCACCGAATCCAGCTTTAGTTAGAGCAGTAACCAGAGCATCTATGCTCGCATCGAAGTAGTTGTCATACTTGCTATGACCATCACTTATCGGACGCGACATTAGTTGGAAAAGGTAATAGTCCAATGAAATATTCTTCTTCTGCTGAAAGCTCAAAATAGGATTCAGCTCGACCATAAACGGTGAGCTATGATTAGCAAGAAATGGGAGGAGCTCAACCATGGTTTTGTTAACATCTGGCCTGAAGTAAGCTTTCGAAGGCAGAGTTGATGCGTTTTGGTATGCATCAGAGCTACAAGGCACAACTACTTTCATCTTGCTCGATAACTTTGCATCATCCAATGCCCGTTGAATATTTGCTGCTGCACGGACCACAAAAGGTTGAAACTGTTGCCCATGATTAAGAAGAAATGGATCATCTCCAACAGCAATAAACCTACAAATTACATTACTCGTCAATATAAAAACTTATAATATCAAGAAAACCCACAAAATGTGAAATGTAACATCAATGCAAACATGAAACAAACAAATTAAGCATTGTTGCCAAACAGATCGCCTGCCTCAAATCCAGATTTAACCTCACCTAGACAGCTATGTACTCTCTTTAACAACCATATTACCCTACACTCCGCTACTATTAATTCAGATTTGATACAAATATACCAAACACATTTGATTAATACAGAAGAATCTCTGCTACTTAAGCTCGAAAAGAAAGGAAGAATGCTCAGCCACAAGCGAAATATCAACAGAAGCCGGACGGTCAAGTTTTGTAACAGAAAATTACAGATCTGTGCACAGATCTACCCGCTGAAGTTTGCAGCTCTTCAGAAAAATACACTCCATCCCCAAATGTTCAGGACAAATTGATAGGATCTAGCTGTGCTATACATCCAAATTTTCCCATTGTTAACTAGGTCCGGGCATGTTCCTTTTATCATCTTTAGTTCACCAAGAGGAATCCATCACAAGTCATAGGATCTGAAACTTTGTAGAGTATAAACACCTACTAGCACGTTGGTAATTGACATTTGTTGAGTGTTTCATAGATCATACTTGTTTGTTCCATGAAAAGAAGACCTTGAGGTACCTAGAAGAAAATTCCAGTGCACTAATGCAATATAGACATAACAACCTATTGAAGTCAACCAATGGACTTAACTAAAGCAGCGTCTTCCTCCTTCAGATCAGATTGGTCAACCGTCAACATTATTAATGATATTGGTTTTGAGCATGTCAGCATGCATGATTGGCAAATCCAGTGGACACAAATTGACTAATCGCATCATCTGGTGCCAATGGAGCCTATAATATTTCTAATTATAGCAACGGGGTCAGCTTGAGGCATAATTTAGACTTGATTTATTCAGTCAACTAGTATCATACAGTAACTATCTAACGAATACACCTTGGCCCCTTCGCATTTCATGATATAAGATCACTAAAATATGTCGGAAAGAAGAGAAAAGGATCAGCGCAAGACTAAAAGAGAAGGAAACCGAGCACTGAAAGGGGAGAAGGGGATGCGGCTCTTACTCAAACAGTACGCCGGAGGCGTAGCGGGTGACATTGTCGTGTACCCAGGCGGCGGCTGCCTTCCTGGAGGAGGCGAGGGGGCGGAGCAGCTCGTTCGGGACCCCGATGGTAACGGCGATGCGGGTGCCGGCAAGGGCGGTCAGCGCGTCGGGCGAGGGGGCGGAGAGGCGCACGCGGGGGACGGAGTTGGGGAGGAGGAGGTCACGCACGACCTGCGCCGCCGGGAGCGGGTGGGATGCCGCGAAGCCCCAGTTCACGCCCACCGCGGCGGCCGGCGACGGCGCAACGGCGACGGCGAGGAAAAGGAGAAGCGGGAGCGCAGGTGCCCTTGGCCGCAGCGGGCGGCGGCGGCTGGGCCGCATTGCCTGCTGTTCCGTGTACACACCGTTGCGGTGCTGCCGCCTCCTAAATTTAATTTGTTCAGCGGTTTACAGTACAACCCCAAACTTCAATTTGGTTCAAAATGCCCCTTTAAACTTTTTCTTGTTCCGGTAAACAGGGTTTAATTCTAAAATTATAGGGTTACAGTTAAAGATAAGTTCCCCAATCCTTTACGTGTCCATACAATATTCATATAACAGTGTTACATTTGTTGCGCCTGTAAGCTGCCCTATCTTGTTTGCATTGAAACTTCTATGGGATAAACTCCCTACTCCATCAAGGACCTGATCTCAGTAGCAAGATGTTCATATGCTGAGCGAGTTAAGCTATCACCAAATAAAGTCACCAATGCCTCAGAGGAGTCCGATTAGATTATGTCTGGGTCTTCTGAATGATGTATGGTCAAGGCCATCCCTGCATCAGTGCGCGAATCTCCGTCTCTAGAGCATCATTGCAATGCGATAAGAACCGGTAAGCTAAAAAGATTATGTTGCCATCATGTCTTCGAAGGGTATGCCCGCCGCCACCATTTCATCACGAGCAAGAAAAGAGTCATCCACCAAGGGCTTCTTGGTTTGTCGGTGATGCGGTCAAGGTTGTACCGATACATAACTCTTAATCTCCGGCATAGAACAAGTTTCATATACTGCCATCTTCCCTTTAATGATTTCGTTAGTGCTATACATCCTTAAAAGGAGCTGTGACTTCATGTAACTCTGCAAGAACTCAACATGTGTTTCAAGGGGAGGTACTTCTTTTCCATGTCCATATCCAAGCGAAGCTGCCAGATACGCCAAATAAGCATAATTATCATATTGTGGACATTCTTCTCACACCCTGCTAGAACATTTAGTGGTCATTTGCTTGTATCAATCAGCAAATTATTGGCAGGAAGCAACCATGCTACTCTCATGAGTTCCCACAAAATCATGACGTGCCCTCAATTTACCAAGGCATGAAAGCTTCCTTATATTTCAACTCCGCATAGTGGACACGTGTGGCTTCACCAAATGCATGTAAACCTTGCACTAATTAGTAGCCAAGGCTCCAATCGATATTTTTCATGTCGTGATCTTCATCATCTATGGAACCGACAAGTTCCAAATACAAAGCCATATAAGTCGGTCTCCTTCAGGGTTACTGTTGGACGTATCCCCAACAAATTGTGTCACTGTACTTGTTATTAGGCAGTACACGCTCTTTACCCAGAAGCGACCGCTCTTCTTCGGGGATGAAGCAAAAAAAAGTCATGCCAATTAAGCGGGGACGTACGTTTCAAGATCTCCTGAACGTCCATCGGCCAAAAATGAGCATTCGAGCGCTACATGTTCCAAGCTCCATGTTGATGACATTAAAATTAGGCGGAAAATACTCATCCACGTCGATGATACAAAATGAATAGATTTGATGCGTAAATACATAAAGGTAGCATCAAACATTGTAGATACTTTATTTTCAGAACTATTATATTTACATAAAAATTCAGTTAATTACATCTCTTAAGATAAAACTTGAATTCCAACGTAGCTACTTCCTCTGTTCACAAATATAAGGTCCTCTTTGATTCATGGGATTTGCAATACATGAGAATAGGAAAAGCCGGAGGAATTGAATGGCATACTGATGACCCACAAGTATAGGGGATTTATCGTAGTCCTTTCAATAAGTAAGAGTGTCGAATCCAACGAGGAACAAAAGGAAATGATAAGTGGTTTTCAGCAAGGTGTTCTCTGCAAGCACTGCAAGCACTGAAATTATCGGTACCAGATAGTTTTGTGATAAGATAAATTGTAACGTGTAACAAGTAAATAAAGTAACTAAGGTGCAACAAGGTGGCCTAATCCTTTTTGTAGCAAAGTACAAGCCTGGACAAACTCTTATATAAAGCAAAGGGCTCCCGAGGACACATGAGAATTGTTGTCGAGTTAGTTTTCATCATGCTCATATGATTCGTGTTCGTTACTTTGATAATTTAATATGTGGGTGGACCGGTGCTTGGGTGCTGCCCTTATTTAGACAAGCCTCCCGCTTATTATTAACCCCTCTCGCAAGCATCTGCAACTATAAAAGAAGAATTAAGATAAATCTAACCATAGCATGAAACATATGGATCCAAATCAGCCCCTTACGAAGCAACGAATAAAATAGGGTTTAAGTTTCTGTCACTCTAGCGACCCATCATCTACTTATTACTTCCCAATGCCTTCCCCTAGTCCCAAATAATGATGAAGTTCCATGTAGTCGATGTTCACATAACACCACTAGAGGAGAGACAACATACATCTCATCAAAATATCGAACGAATTTCAAATTCACATGATTACTTATAACAAGACTTCTCCCATGTCCTCGGGAACAACTGTAGCTACTCACAAAGCATATTTATGATCAAGATTAGAGGAGTATTAATTATCATTAAGGATCTGAAAATATAATCTTCCACCGGATAAACCATCTAGCATCAACTACAAGGAGTAATCAACACTACTAGCAACCCACAGGTACCAATCTGAGATTTTGGGACTAAGATCGAATACCATAGATGAACTAGGGTTTGAGAGGAGATGGTGTTGGTGAAGATGTTGATGGAGATTGACCCCCTCTCGATGAGAGGATCGATGGTGATGACATTGGCGACGATTTCCCCCTCCCGGAGGGATGTTTCCCCGGCAGAACAGCTTCGCCAGAGCCCTAGATTGGTTATGCCCAGGTTCCGCCTCGAGACGGCGGCGCTTCGTCCCAAAAGCTTTCTTCTGATTTTTTCCAGGTCAAAACACACCATATAGCCAAAGATGGCCACCAGAGGCCTACCAGGGGGCCCACAAGGTCGGGGGCGCGCCCTCCACCCTTGTGGTTGGCTGGTGGCCCCCCTCTGGTACTTTTTTCGCCCAATACTTTTTATATATTCCAAAAACATGCTCCGTGAAGTTTTGGGACTTTTGGAGTTGCACAGAATATGTCTCTAATATTTGCTCCTTTTTCAGCCCAGAATTCCAGCTGCCGGCATTCTCCCTCTTCATGTAAACCTTATAAAATAAGAAAGAATAGACATAAGTATTGTGATATAATGTGTAATAACAATCCATAATGCAATAAATATCAATATAAAAGCATGATGCAAAATTAACATATCACATACCATTTTCAATCGTACAGGATTAGTATGAGTGTTTGGTCGTGCACAGGAAAAACATACGATGGTTGGAGAGAGAATTTCCTATGAAAACTAGTACTTCCTCCAGTTCTTTTTACTCTGCATATTATATTTGTGTTAAGTCAAACTTTGACCAAATTTATATTAAAAATTTATCAACATATACGATACCAAATATATATACTATGAGACTCATTCCATAATGAATCTAACAATATTAATTTGGCATTGTGAATGTTAATATTTTTTAAAGTTTGGTCAAAGTAGAGATAGTTTGACTTTGGACAAAACTTATATACAGACTAAAAGGACCGGAGAGAGTACAAGTGAATACTATGGAAAAATTCCTATGGATTGTAATCCTACAAATCAAACCTTAAGGATTAGAACCCTTCAAAATTCCTTTAGAAATCCTTTGAATCGAAGAGAGACTAAGATGTTTTAGATATTTCAGTATGGACTACATACAGACTGAAATGAGTGAACAAATACACTTAAACGTGTCTATATATATATAATTCAAAGAAAAGTTAAAACAACGTATATTTGTGAACGGAGGGAGTATTACATAGGTTAAGCGACCACTCCTCGCCGATCTCGGCGAGCTCGACGTCAAGGCGGCGGTGGCGCCTGTCTCCGCGATGGTGCCGGAGCGATCGAGCACCCACACCGCGGTGAGGTCCGGGTCATTGCGGACCAATTCCGATGCGACGTCCGTCTTAGTGAACGCAAAGCGGCGACCGACATTGTGTTGGTCATACCTCGCCTGCTGCCGTGTGCACGCTCGGCCTCGGATACCACGGCTCGAGAGCCGGAGGCACAACCTGCTCTGAGGTAGCGGAGGATGCGGCCACACGCATTGGTGATCACGCGCGGTAGCTCCCTTTTTATCACGCGGCGGTGGCGTCGTGGTGGCAAGGAGGGCCTGTTGATGCACGTGTAGCGGCTGCACGGCGAGGGTGATGCCGGCTCGTCCTTCACGCGACGGAGGCGCTGGGGGGTGGGGGGGACGTTGGCTCTTGCTTCACGCGACCGCCGATGTGGAGGCCGCGGTTGCATGGCAGGGACGCTGACTCGTCCTTCACGCATCGGAGTGGGGATGCCGGCTCCCGCTTAACATGGACCCTCGGCGGGGACGATGGATCCTCCTTCACGCGCGTCGGCGATGATGGCGCCAGGCCATCTGACGGAGCGAACACTCCATCATGATCTCCATCTGACGGACGGATTCTTCGTCCATCAGAGCCGCCTCCGAGAGAAGATGGAGCCACTACTGTGATTGTTCCTCCTCGTCACCGGAGGAGATGCCTGCCTCCTCCTTGCCGGAGGATGATAAACCACAAGTATAGAGGATCGCAACAGTTTAGAGGGTAGAGTATTCAACCCAAATTTATTGATTCGACACAAGGGGAGCCAAAGAATATTCTCAAGTATTAGCAGTTGAGTTGTCAATTCAACCACACATGAAAGACTTAATATCTGCAACAAAGTATTTAGTAGCAAAGTAGTATGAAAGTAACGGTAACGGTGGCAAAAGTAACAGTAGTAGTTTTTGTAGCAATCATAATAGTGGCAACGGAAAAATAACTTTAGCAAAGATCAATATGTAAAAAGCTCATAGGCAATGGATCAATTATGGATAATTATATCGGATGCGATTCCTCATGCAACAGTTATAACATAGGGTGACACAGAACTAGCTTCAGTTCATCAATGTAATGTACGCATATATTCCGAATATAGTCATACGTGCTTATGGAAAAGAACTTGCATGTCATCTTTTGTCCTACCCTCCCGTGGTGGCGGGGTCATATTGGAAAATAAGGA